TGCAGTTACATTTTAAGTTATGATATATTTATCATTTATACGATAATAGTGTATACTATTAATTTATTACAGTCATTGTGAATATCACAGTTATATAACATTAGTTTTGAAAGGTATTTTTACTGTTATATAACGACCATTATTTCAATAATAAATCGTTATTTAAATCTCTAATTCACATGTTTATAACACATAATGTGTCTCTTAAATCAGTCGTGCCTGATAGTTAAGCATGCATGGCAACCTTCGGATGATACAAATAAATTTTTGTTTCTATCATTACCGACTGTAATTCTGTCAATTTTTACCGATAATAATTTATGTGTATCTTAGATCAGTCTTTGATTTTCTTTCTTTGTATGCATAAAAAATATACATATTAAAAAATTATTTTATTATTTTATCAAATAATAACTCTCGTAGGATTAATGACTATACTGTAAGTGTTTATTTTTGAAAGAAATTGTATAGTTGATTGTTATTAATAAGAAATAATTAATCCTATAATGCATAACAAAATATAAAATAGGAAAGATGAAAATAGATGCAACCATTTATAAGAAAAATAAAATTGATAATTTTATTAAATATTAAAAATTAAAATTACTATTATATCAATTAAATATAAACCGTTAATGGTTTAAAATGATTTAAGAATTAGTGACCGGAATAGTATTAGTAACTGAATAGAAAAAAATTATTCGGTGTCCAAAATAAAAGTAGAATAATAGTTTAGTGACCGTTGACATAAATTTACCAAAGTAGTCTTGAGTGCCTCCAAACCCCAAGGTTTAAAGAAACCAAATTTCGTCCGCCGGAGACGCCGCGTTTGGAGAAAGCAAGAAGAAAATGATACCTGAGCAATGGGCTTCTCCTTGTGGAAATCAATGCACTCACAAATACGCTGCTCTCATGCAAATTCCCTGTATTACTTCTTTATTCCCTTCAATTCTTTATTAATTTGGGGCTGGCACCGATTTAATAGATCTTAGCATTCTGTGTATTCGTTATAATTGATTGCATTTCAAGCTTCTTCCTTCAAGATCAAGGTTCCATCGTTTTTTTTTGTGGATCTTGGTATTACATTGCTTTATTTGTACGGATTGAGAGTGCTTTTCTCCAAATGTTTTTTAATGGATACTCTACCTCTGTTGCAAGTTTTGGATGTTGATTTATAATAATGTAAGCTATAAATTGGCAATCAATTTCCCACAATTTGTGCATTTGTGTAACGAGGTGTTCAAATTATTTTGTTTACTTGCTTACATGATAAATTTGGGATTTTCTTCATTTTAATTTCTGCCTATTTTTTAATTATGTCAGCAATCTATTTGTATGTCAGCAATCTATGAACCCTACTAACAATCCCAAATTCTTGTAGGGAGAGTGTTCTGCAAAAAAGGGTGTAGTGCGGATGGAGAGACATGGGAAGAATGTAAGCAGTTTTGTATTGATCGTTGCTTTTGATTTAAAAACCGTTGTATGTTCTTCGAATCTGATTTAATCAGTCTTTTGATGTTTATAGTGTTATAATACACCGGGGAAACAGTATATCTTTTAAAGCTGATTATATCTCTTGTTTTACGATTACGAGCGTTTCAGGTTTATCAGAGTGTGATGAGATATGCTATAAGGATCCTGTATTAAAGGACCAGAAATGGAGTGCTTACATGGATCGCTCCCCTGGAGCTACCAATTACTCTCAGTACTTAATCTTATAGCCATTTTTTATCCTATTTTCTCACCTGTAATGACCCTAATTTTTTTTTCATTTGTTTCGTACTTTTTCATGTCTGATATGGTGAATTTGCTGCTTACTTGGTATGAGCTGCTTTATGTTTTTCATGTTTGAAAGAACAAACCTCTAAAAGTCTGTTGTTACGCAAATTTAGTCAACTTATTTTCTCTTTAGAAATCTAGTGCTGTCCTTTAGGAAAAGTTTTTAGTACCTTTTGAGTTTGGGGTTCATTTCAGTTATTCATAATAGATTATTTACACTGGTTTGCAATTGCTTTTTAGTGTTAGATTGAGGCAATGAAGAACTTAGTCTTTTTGTGTATCAAAGGTATAATATGCTCCCGTAAGTGCTTTTACGGTGCTCGGGAGTCAATAACCTGTGATGATACTTGGTTATATTCAGAATGTTCTTGGGATTGCTATGAATCAAACGAAACCTGATACATACACATACTTGAAATTATCGCAAAAAAGGTAAAATCCATTACAAACGACATAACTTTCCCTATAGCGCCCCAAGGTATTGTCTCTGTGCTAGTAAAGCTAGATCCCCTTGTTGTCGTGCTTCTAGACTCATAAAAGGGGATATGCTTTTGCCTTTTGCAAGTTCATGTCAGAAAAGATGAGCACCTTTGTCACATGGAAGCTTTCTTGAGAGTTGGCTTGTTCTGTTATCCTGATTATAGCTTGCTTAATATGGCACTTCCAAAGAAATTAAAGGTGAAAGTGCTGTTTGAAGAACTGTAATACTCTTATTTTGCGAAGATTCATATGACTCGGAATGTGTTCTTCAAACATCTCGTAATTCAAAGCATAAGGATGTATGAAATTCATAAAAAAAGATATGAGTGAGAGAGAGAAAGGGAGAGTGAGAGAGAGTGCCATAGGCGGCCAGTCCTCCGGTGAGGAATGGACGGCGTTTGTCAACTTTCTGAGTAAGAGGGTAACTTGGCGAACACTAAAGGAAATCTTTCAACAACATGGTGTTATTAGGGTCTACATTCCGAGTAGCTCCACCAAGCAGAATTATAGGAACTACACGTTTGCTTTCGTTCAGTTTGAGAAGGAAGATGGGTTGATGAAAGCGATAGCAAATTTGAATGGTATTTGGATAGATGGTAAGAAAGTCTCAGTTGGTGTAGCTAAGTACCAGAAGCAGAGGTCCAGGCAAGAGGATAATAGAGATGTCAGAAGGGTAGAAGGTAAATGGAAAATAGGAACGACTTTGAGAAGAAGATCAAGGTCAGTGTCGATCAGCAAATTGAGGGATGAAAGAACATATAAGGATGTGCTGGTCTCTTATGACGAGCAAAGGGAAGTTCAGGGGAACAAAGAGTTTAAGGAGGGTCGTCCAGGAGAGAAAGAAGGACTGAGAAATGTATGGGAGATGCATATCCCATTAGATGAGTATGATTGGGTTAAAAGATCATTGACTGGAATTATAAAATCCCAGTTTGATCTGGAATTAGTGGAGAAGGGGCTGGCTAGTGATGGAATCATAGTCAGGGGAGCTAAATGGGGTTATACATGGAACTCTTGTATCTTAACTTTCGACTCAGTAGAAGAATTAGAAAAAGCAAGGACGAGCAGAGGGGAGGAACTGTTGTTCTGGTTTGATTGGCTTGATCCGCTTATGAGCGAAGAAGGTGTTCCGTTGGCTTTTTGCTCAGTTGAACTGGTTGGAATCCCTTTATTATGTTGGAACGAATCTTTCTTGGAAAAGTTACTTTCAAAGTGGGGGAAGTTGGTCTGTATTCACGAGTCGACAATCAAAAGGGAGGATATGGCGGTGGCAAGAGCTCTACTGAAGGTGGCCAGTCCGTTCGACATACAAGAATTTGTTAATATGGGTTCGTATGGGCGTTCTTTCAAGGTTAAAATTAACTTGGGATCGGTTAGTATTAAACAGGAAAGCTTTGCAGTTAAAAAATCTATGGTGGCCGGAGATGGTGTGTACAGTAACGACGCTCAACCTGAGAAGGAAGATGATAACCATTCAGTTGGAGTTGGTAAGCTGGACTTGATAGCTAAGGATTCTAGGGATACATATGTCAGAGGGTTGGTAGGGGAAAACTATACATCTATGGTAGGCGGCAAAGGTGAAGAGCATTTATTGTCACAGGAACTACAAAGTCAAAATAGTGGTGCTATGATGTCAGAATTACCAGATGGGATTTTGAATTTAAAAGGGGATTATCGAGGGCTGGGTTTAAGAGATGATTTTATAGTTGAAAGTGTGGCAGCCCAATCTGTGGATTCGAGTGAGGACCACCCAATTTCTTTTATTGGGCCTGGGGTTAATCAAACCAATTTGGGGTTTGGTAAGGGGAATGAATCCCGGTTGGAAACTTTGGTGGAGCCGCAACAATCTGGTTCGGATAAATCAAATGTGCAAAAAAAGGCTAATGATCCTTCTTATCTATTCCCAAAGGCAATTCCTGGTGGGGTAGTCGTTAGGTTACAGCCAGTACATAGAGAAGATTCTAACAAATCCAATGAGGTTTTGATTAATGAAGGAACATTCCTGAACAAAGAAGCTAGTAGTGAGGAAGGTATAGAAGAGGTTAGGGAAGAAAAGTCGATGCACATGAATCAAGAGAGTGGTTGTTATAAGGAGTCTCATACTATTGGCCTTAGTAGCTGGAGTCCTTTCAATCACCTGCCTAGGAGTCTGCATTTGGGAGGGTGGAAGAGAGGGCCTGTCTCCAGAGTGTATAGAAGATCCAGAGGTAGAAAGGTGTGGTTTAATCCACGCAGAGAAAATGGTTCAATGTTTCCACTGGAGGTGTCTGATCACAATAGGTCTAGAAATATTCCTACCTCGAGTATTTTACCTATTACCAATATATCGGGGAGAAGCCCGATTGAGACCCAGGATGATGATGGTTCTAGTCAGAAAGCAGATGCAGTTCGGTCACAGCTTCCTCGGGGAGATGGTGAGGGTGTTAAAGGGAATAAGCATGGATCAGAAGCAAGGACTGGTATTAGAAGAAAGAAAAGGATTCTGATTAGGGAAGCACTGGACGTGGCTAGTATCCCTACTGTGTATTCTCCAAATTTTTCCTTATTTTTAGAAGAAGCGCTGGCTACATGGGAAGTCAGTAAATTGCTTGGGATCTCATTCAAAGAGGGGAAGAAAGCCTTTTTGGATAAAATAATTAATATGGAGAAAGGTTTGGCTGATTGTGGGGAAGGGGTGGTTTCGGGGGAGTAGGGATCTCTCGGCTACTTTGCTTTGAGGTTTTGTTTCCATAGATATATACATGGTAAAGATGAAGATTATTTCTTGGAACATAAGGGGTATCCGAAAAAAGGAAAAATCTAGAGCAGTAGCTACTATGGTCAGGAATTATAAACCAGGCATTCTTCTCATTCAAGAAACAAAGCTGGAAAAATGTTCTCAGGCTATTAGGAGAAGGATAGGTGGAAGTATTCTTAATAGTTGGACTGTTGTTCCAGCTGTGGGGTCTGCAGGAGGTTTAATGGTGTTGTGGAATGATAAGGATTTTGAAGTTACAAATAGTCATTTAAGCAGCAGGTTCATAGCTGTCTTTGGAAGTTTTAAGAATTCATGTGATAAATGTGTGATTATTAATGTATATGGTCCAAGTATTGATGCTGAAAAGGAGGATTTTTTCAGGGAATTGCTGAATTTTGTCACTGCTCAAACAGTATCAGTTTGCATTGGGGGTGATTTTAATGTGTATTTTGATCCGACAGAGAAGATAGGAATGTCACAAAATTGGTTTTCTATAGCTATTCTAAGAAATTTCCTGAATCATACTAATTTAATCGATCTACCTATGGTTGGGGGAAGGTTCACTTGGTGTAATAATAGAGAAGCCTCTACTTGGGTCAGATTGGATAGGTTCCTAATTTCTGGGGATTTTCTGATAAGTTTTCCTAATGTTCTGCAAAGCCTGTTACCGAGATCTTTATCTGATCATAATCCCGTTTGTTTGGAGGAAAAAACTGTTGATTGGGGCCCCAAACCATTCAGATTTTTTAACTATCTTCTAGAGGAAAAAGGGTTTGAGGATATAGTTAAATCATCCATGGATGTTTCGAGAGGGGAGTAGAAGGAGTAGGGGCATTTTCAGCATTCTTCAAGAAACTAAAATAGCGATCAGAAGTTGGTCGGGCAGAAAGTTCAATGGAATTTCTGAGTCCATAGCAGATCTGGAATTGAAGATAAATAATCTTGAGTTTAAAGCTCAAGCTGGGGACCTCTGCCAACAGGACTGGGGGCATCTGCTGCAGTTCAGATCGGATCTATGGAGGTTGTATAGGATTGAAGAAAGCATCTGGTTTCAGAAATCAAGGGCGAAATGGATTAAAGATGGAGATAGAAACACTAGATTTTTTCATTTAACTGCTCTAAACAGGAGTAGGAGAAATGAAATTACTAGTTTGAAGATCAATGGTTCTGAAGTTGTAGATCCGCAATCTATTAAGTTGCATATTGCGGCCTTTTTTAAGGAATCCTATAGTTCTATGTCAACGCTGGGTGTAGAGGATTTATCCCTGGAGTTTGCTATGCTATCAGAGTTCCAATCTTTAAAACTTGAGGAGCAGTTCACGGAACAAGAATATGGCAAGCGATAGCTTCTTCGGACAGTTCTAAAGCACCAGGACCGGATGGCTTTACCATGGGCTTCTTCAAGAAATGTTGGTCGGGTTTAAAGGAACATGTATTGAAGTTTTTCCAGGATTTTTTCAGAGGTAGAAAATGGGAACACGGAGTTAATCACGCGTTTATTACACTCATTCCGAAGAAGACTAATCCGGAAAGTGTGGAGGATTTTAGACCAATCAGCCTTGTAGGTAGTTTATACAAGATTCTCTCAAAAGTATTATCTAAAAGGTTGAGTGGCTGTGTTGGCGACATAATAAGTCAATCCCAATTTGCATTTATTCCGGGGAGACAGTTATTGGATTGCGCCTTCATTGCGAACGAAGGTATTGATTTCTGGAGAAAACAAGGACTGCAAGGGGTAGTTTTTAAAGTTGACTTCCGAAGAGCATACGACACTGTGGAATGGCCTATTTTGTTTAGAGCAATGAAAGAAATGGGATTTGGAAACAGATGGTCATCGTGGATTACTCAATGTCTGTCTACAGCCTCTATTTCGATTCTTGTTAACGGGTCTCCTTCTGAGGAGTTTGCAATGGAAAAAGGTCTTAGACAAGGCTGCAGTCTTTCTCCACTTTTGTTCAACATTATAGGCGAGATGTTACATTTGATGCTTTCTAAAGCAATCGAGAGGGGTTTATTCCAGGGTATTATTATGGGGAATTCTGAAAATTCTACCAGGCTGTCCCATCTACAATTCGCCGATGATTTAATAATTTTTTGTCAAGCCTCCATTAATCAGATCAAGAATGTAAAAAGGGTGCTGAGGATCTTTAGCATTATGACAGGTTTACACCTCAATTTAGCAAAGAGTAAGCTGTTCGGTATCAATTTGGAAGAGGGAGTGTTATCGGATTGGGCAGAACAAGTGGGCTGTTCGGTTGGTTTTCTACCTACAGAATACTTGGGACTTCCCTTGGGAGCAAGGAAAAACACAGAGGCTCTATGGGATCCGGTCTTTAAGAATTTTAGTTCCAAACTTGCGGGGTGGAAAGCGTCTTGTCTGTCTTTGGCTGGGAGGACAGTCCTGTTGAAGTCGGTGCTAACCTCTTTGCCGATTTTCTTTCTATCTCTTTTCAAAATGCCGTGCAATATCGGAAAGAAGCTTAATTCTTTAATGGCTAACTTTCTTTGGGGTGAGAAGGGGGATAAGCGGAGGATTCACTGGGTAAATTGGAACACGGTTTGCAGGCCTTTGAACTGTGGTGGACTAGGTGTCCTTGATTTGAATCTTACTAACCGGGCTTTACTAGGCAAGTGGGTGTGGAAATTTGCCAATGACAAAAACTCTCTCTGGAAATCGGTGTTGTGTAGTAAGCAAAAGATGAGTTGGAACACTATGTCTATTGGAAAGGTTACTTCTCCGAAATCTTCATGGATCTTGAGAGGCATTGCTAATAATTTTTCTAAGAATGATTCGGTAGGGAACTTTCTTAGATTGAATTCGAAGCTGCAAGTGGGTAATGGGAAATCAATTTCTTTTTGGAATGATGTTTGGGCGGATGAGGTCCCTCTAAAAATACTTTTTCCTAGAATCTACGTGCTTTCCATTAATAAAGGGGGGGAGATTGTTGAGTTTGGCAGCTATGGACCGAGTGGTTGGGAGTGGAATGTCCAAACTAGAAGGAATCTGAGTGATTGGGAATTGGACCAGTGGTTAGCTTTGATGATAAAAATTAAGGATGTCAAACTGTCAGAGCTGGTGGAGGACTCTCTTTCTTGGTCTGCTAGTGGAGATGGACTGTTTTCGGTTAAATCATGCAGGGAAAACATTGGCTCGGAGGTAGGGAGTAATGATGTGTGGCTACAAGGAGTTTGGAAGGGTTTGGCTCCACCGAGAGTGGAAGCTTTTCTGTGGCAACTGGCACATCAGAAATTGGCAGTTAAGGCTGAGTTGGTTAAGAGAGGAGTTTCTTTAGGGGAGGATATACAGTGTCCTTTCTGCAAGATTCACGAGGAAACAGTTCAACACTTATTTATTTCCTGTTTTGTTGCTTGGAAGTTGTGGAATAAAATAGCTAGCTTCTGGGATATTTTGTTTGTTCTTCCTCAAGACCCTCCTGCTTTGCTTAGTTCCTGGTGTGATTTGAGGGGAAACTCGACGATATGGAAGTTTATTCCAGGTGTTATCTTCTGGTCAATCTGGAAAGCCAGGAATGCTATAGTGTTCGAAGGTTCTAACCTGGACAGCATGTCTTTGTTCTTTACAGTTAGATTCAGGTTATCAAAATGGTTTTTAGCAAAGTTTCCTATGGTTAATATTCAGGAGGATTTGCTGATTGGTAATCCATCTCTAGCAGATGGGTTTTCGTTAACTTTAGACAGAGTTGGTCATAACCTGCGTTGGTTTCCCCCCCCTGTTGATTTTCTTAAGATGAACGTTGATGGTGCTGTTAGGCTTGGAGGCTCGGGTGGAGGCATAGGAGGTATATTGAGAGATTCGGAGTGTTGCACGCTTTTGACTTTTTCAGAGAAGGTGGACCAAGTTACTCCTCCGCTAGCTGAATTAAAGGCTATTAAAAGGGTATTGAAATTTTTCTGGCTTCAGTTTGGGTTTCGGTTGGAAGATTGATTGTTGAGAGTGATTGCAAGTCGGTAGTGGAATGGATTAAATCACCGGCTTTGGCTCCTGTTTTTTACTTGTCTTTGGTTAATCAGATTTTGACTCTTTCAAATGGCAAGGTTCATTCAGTGAGGTGGATTCCAAGAGCGAGCAATGGGAGGCTGATAGCTTAGCTAAGAAAGGGATAGGTTGACTGTAAGGACCTGTTACTGGATTTTCTGGTCCAGCGATATGGGCTATTATAAAATTGTTGTTAAGTTTTATGGGATGTATTGTGATGTAGTGTTTAAATCTTATGTAAGATTATATTATCAATAAAGTTCTTAAGGCACTCTTTTCCTCCTTCCGCTGATTAAGGAGCTTATCACTAAGTTCCTTTAATCAAGAAGGGGGTTTTTAGCGAGGCCTTCCATTCTTATCAAAAAAAAAAGCATAAGGATGTATGTGCAGTGCAACTGGGTAAATTATAGGAATTCGTAATTCGAATCAGTGAAATAAGCTATACTTTTGGTCAAATATTATACTATTAAATTCATCGTTGATTTTTTTATCATACAGGAATGCTTCAATGCTTGTGTAGCTGGATGTGGTTATAAGGTTGGTCTGAGGCCGTGAAATTTAAAGGGCTTATCATTTGCTTTCTTCACCTACGATTCATCCCCAATTTCATGTTTCTTTACGTATTGCAGTTTGAAATATGTAAAGAGATAGTCGCGCAAGTCAGACCAAGACCATTGCCACCCAGTCCTCATCCAGTGGTGAAACCGCCCCCATCCACTACACCTGATGAACGTGCCGAAGATGTACCAAGTACTTCAGCATAAAATCAGGTGAAAAATAAAATCCGATATAATCTTTATTCGCTGGGTAGCATGCTAGGAGAAATTCATCATGTTTCTGACATGCTACTACTGATCGATGTAGTCTGGGGCCGTTTCGGTGAAGAAACATTTTTATTTTCTTCTGTAGTTTGCCCCTCGTCAGGTGCCACCATGTTTAATCCTTCAAAACATTTCTGCTAACGAATACGGTAAGACGATGTACGCTCCCGATTTCGTTAATCATGCCACATGGAAAGCGTTTTGAGATTTGATTATCTGGGAATTTTCATATCAATCTATGGATATCACGTTAACGAACATTCATCTGTGTATTACTCAAGAATGTCATCAAACATCAACTAATTCATGGCTCTATAACTTATCCATACAATCATTTTATTAGCAATAAATTATTCAGTATCAACTAGCATCATATAATAATCAATAACAATATTTGGTATCACATAATGTCAAATTTCATAAATAATATCTATAATTGGTATCATCTAACATCAAGTATATATATAATATCTATATATGATATCACTAAGTATCATGTATTATATATAGCATTTACACTAGATATCACTAAATAATAAGTATCAATAATAGAGGTGATAACCCAATATCACTAAATAATCAAATAATATTCTACCATTCATAGATATAAACTATACTTACCTAGTATCACTAAGCATCATGATACGAAATCATAGATATTCAAATAGTCTATTATCATACATGATCATCCACATATAGATAGGTGCTCATAAATCATACCTATTATCTATCGCTCTTTAAGACGAATGAATGTAGCTTGATTACATAGTCAGAACATTTATACATTAAATAGACACCCATCTTTTTACATAATTCACGATACAACTTATTCTCAATGTAGTTCGCTTCCTCTCTTAATAATGTTATACATAAGAGTATAATCTTTTAGTAGATTATGAGTCTTAGAATGCTAAAACAATTTCCTACACGGTTGCGTTCAATGGCAACGGGAGCAACTCTTTCACCCCCAGCGCGCGGCCTAAGACAGGCAGACCCATTCAGCCCATACTACTTTTGCGTTGAAGGTCTATCTACGGCATTCTATTTGGTGAAGCTTCAATATATGTGGCCTCTAATATCAAGGAAGTTGTATCAACATATGATAGCATTTCTAGTCAAAAAATTAATTTTGACAAACCTCTAATTTAATTTAGTAGCAATGTTGAAAGAATCACAAAATAAGCTATTGGAACTTTATTGGGGGTTAGCATATAATCTAATCCCAAGAAATACCAACGACAAAAGAAAAGAGCATTTACTGGAACCCCGTATAAAATGCACTCTCATATTGAAGTATCCCCTGAAGTAAAGATCACAATCTGGAGATTAAGCGTTTTGGCTTTACCCTTTTTTTTAACAGTATAAAGTGTTTATCATATAGTATCTATACAACTACAACTACTACAACCTAAGACCTCAAAAAAATAGTCTAAGATAATTATAATATAATAATTATACAAATACAACTACTTGAACTCAAAAGGAGAATAACAATACATTTAATCGATCAATGTGATCATACCCTTTC